AAGAAGTGCGAGTGGGCCAAGATGCAAGTCTTATACTTGGGCCACGTGTTGGACGGAGATGGCATTAAGCCAGAGGACAGCAAGATCGCGGCGATCAGAGATTGGCCGACGCCCCGCACATTGACAGAGTTGCAGTCGTTCCTAGGCTTAGCTAACTACTACAGGAAGTTCGTGAGGAACTTCTCCACTATCGCCGCTCCCTTGCGCAGGTTGTTGAAGAAAGAGACAATCTGCCAATGGGATAAAGACTGTACATCTGCGCTCAAAAAGTTAAAGCGCGCGTTAATAGAGTATCATGTCCTCAAGGTTGCAGAGCCGTCCTTGCCATTTGTCGTCACCACGGACGCGAGTCAGTATGGGATAGGCGTCGTGTTGCAACAAGATGACGACAATGGCTATAGACCCGTAGAGTTCATGTCCGCGAGGATGCCTTGTGAGAAAGCCGCTACCTCCACGTACGAAAGAGAACTCTACGCCCTCAAGCAGGCTTTAGACCATTGGAAGCACTACCTGCTTGGGAGGCACTTCAAAGTCTACTCGGACCATGAAACACTTAAATGGTTGAAGACCCAGGCCAAGATGACACCTAAGTTGACCAGGCGGGCCGCAGAGATAGACCAATTCGACTTTGAGCTCAAGCCAGTGAAGGGCAAGTACAATGTAGTGGCGGATGCTCKAAGTAGGAGATCAGACTACTTTGGAGCCGTAGTACATTATTTGGATATAGGGAGAGACCTGCAGGAGAAAGTGAAACAAGCGTATACGCAGGACCCTATCTATAGCGACCTCCTAAAGAGAGTTAGAGAGGCCCCAGAGACCGAACCAGATTACCGCACTACAGACGGGTTGCTGTTTGAGAAGACTAATGTGTTTAACTGCCTGTGCGTTCCCAATAGCGAAGAGATTCGTAGTCTAATTCTAGGGGAATGTCACGATACTGAGGGACACTTCGGTTGGCAAAAGACGTTAGCCAATCTGATGCGTGCGTACACATGGCCAGGGATGAAGAACGACTGCATAGAGTATGTCCGCAGTTGTAAAGTATGCCACCGAAACAAATCTACTACACGCGCGCCCCTAGGTCTTCTCAGACCCTTGCCTATTCCGGATCAGCCGGGAGACTCAGTGTCCATAGACTTCATGGACACGCAAGTCAAGAGCAGACATGGTCATAGTCGACCGTTTTAGTAAGTATGCAGTTTTTGTTCCCTTGCCTGCAGAGGCACGTACAGATTTAGTAATACAGAAGTTCTTTGACTTTTGGGTTAGTGAGAATGGAAGGCACGTACAGATTTAGTAATACAGAAGTTCTTTGACTTTTGGGTTAGTGAGAATGGAATCCCATTGTCAATAGTTAGTGATAGGGACAGTCGTTTCACCAGCCAGAACTGGCAAGAACTCATGAGAGTCTACGGATCTAAGTTGTTAATGTCGTCCGGCCGTCACCCAGAGACTAATGGTCAGACAAAACAGATGAACAAGATCCTGCAGCAAGTTCTGCGCATGTACATTAGACCAGATCAGATTAACTGGGATGAGATGTTGCCTAAGGTAGCTAGTGCATACAACAACAGCGTGCATCTATCCACCTGCCGCACCCCCAATAAGTTGCACAAGTCCTTTAGACCGCGCAGACCGTTCGAAGGACTGAACCGGGATCAGATTCACAGATTACCACCCGGTACCAGGGAGTTTGCGATACAGCACGAAAAGGAATTAGCCACTGTTGTTGAGAACCTTCGGAAGGCCCAGCACAAAATGATAGAGCAGGCTAACAAGCACCGTCGCCCATCACAGTTTCAAGTAGGCGACTTAGTCTGGGTCAAGACAAAAGAGTTTGCACCGGAAGAAAACATATCGCAGAAATTACTGCCTGCATATAGAGGACCGTGGCCGGTTCAAGTCAAGGGCGGAGAGGATGGACCGTCCTACAGCATTGAGATTCCAGCACACCTCCACACATACCCTGTGTTCCATGCTTCAAAGCTGCTGCTGTGTGTCACTAGTCAACAGTTCCCTTCCAGGAGATCCATGATCCCACCGGATATGGATGGGAGCTATGACATAGAGGGCATCGTAGAAGAGGATGTGTTTAGGACAGGAGGTAGAGGTCGTCCCCAGAAACAGTATAAAGTCCGGTTTGCCTATCAGGAACCAGAAGACGACCGCTGGTTCACGAAAGCAAAACTTCTCGAGACTGCTCCCGACATAGTCAGAGCCTATGAGCGTGACAAGAAAGGTAAAGGTCCCGCCTTGGACTAAAATTTTCTCAGAGGACCTCGAATTTAGGACGGCGGGAGTGAAACGGTTTTCACCTTTTAGCAGTAGCGGATGCAGTACCCAGGGTTCGATCCCTAGACCTCACCCTACCCATGTACAGTATCTGTGTAGACCCCGAGAATTGA